GAGTCCCAGCTGCTCCACTTCCAATCCAGCTCTCTGCTGTGGCCTGGGGAAGCAGTAGAAGATGGCCCAAGTCCTTGGGCCCCTGCACCCACATGGGAGACCTTCGGATCAGCGCAGCTTCGGCCTTTGTGGCCAACTGGGGAGTGAAGCAGCAGATGGAAGATAGATCAATCGATCGATCTTTCTCTCTCTCTCTCTCTCTCTCTCTGCCTCTCCTTCTCTCTCTGTGTAACTCTTTCAAATGAATAAATAAACCTTTGAAGAAAGAAGAAGATGCTTGTAATGAAAGAAGGTTTATTTTGACTCACAGTTTGGAGGTCTGTTGTCCAAGACCAGCTCTGTTAATCTGGCATCTGATGAGGGCAATGCATGGTATATGAAGGGAAGATCACCTGGGGAGACAAGATGTAGAGAGAGAGAAAGCATCTGGGCCCAGCTCAGGCTTCTAAAACTGGCCCGCCTTCTTAGGGCAGGCCCCAATGATCTGAGGATCTTTGGTTAGGCCCCACCTCCTAAAGACCGTAATTCGATGAAGTCTCCACTCTCTTACTTAGTACCGCCAATTCAGCACTATGGAATTTGAATTGAGCACCCAAATCATGTTTAAAGTACAGCACTTGTTTAACCCAGGATTCTCAGTGCCTGGAAAGTTAGCTTACACAGAGCAAGCACTCAATAACTTCACTCAATATTTGACAAGGAGGCCAGGTGTCTGCTCACTTGTCTCTAATCTCACAAAAGCACCCAAGAGTGGGCCCCTCTTTCTAGATTTCTCCATATACCAACCCAGGGTGAAAATATAAGGAGTTGGGAAGGTACTATGTATGTAATAACTCACAAACGAAAGCCTGCTATGACACAATGCCACAGATGAGAAGGAGCATAAATAATCCATGCTGCACTGTAAAGATTGCAAAGCTCACAAGGACAATAGGCTTGTCTCTGCTTAGCATGCAAGCATTTAATTGGAAAGTTAAATAATATATTGCACTTTCTATGTTGAAATTACTCTATGCCATTCTGCTTATCTGTCCCTGAGTGAGATGAATTTCCAATGGTATGCTCAGATTGCTTTATTAACATCAGCAACCAACCATTGTTAATGATTTTTAACCCCTGGTGGTTGTGGGGAGATTGCATCCTACTGGGGGAGCTGGTCCCAATCCTGAGGCTAGAGTTGCCACATCTGTCTACTGCATAGTCAACTTTTAGGATGAAAAAGCCATTTCCCTTACTGTCCTCTCTCAATTAACAGAAATTTCTAGTCTTAATATCCAAGTGTGCTCTTTTGCTTCACTTACCCCAAGACTTACTTACCTTCACTAGAAGACTGAAGTTCTGCATACTGGACAGAGATGATTTCCTAGGAGAAGCAGTGTGTTTTCCCCTATCTGTGGGTGGGACAATCTAGTTTTACCTCCTTTTACTTCATTTTCGAGGTATTCGATTCTCGTTAAGTCAAGAATGTCAGAATAAAAACACACCACTCTGCTGTATTTAGATTATATAGCCAATTTTCCATGGTAACTGGACAGGGGCTTCGTTACCAGAAGGATGGGAGATTTTTGAAGTTGACGAGAAGTGATCATTTTTCCCTATGGTGGCTGCGATCACAATCACAAGATAATTTCAGAGGAAGAAAAATCCCTCTTTGCTTTTTAAGATGGTCAAAAGCTTTTACAACAGGCAGCTAAAGATTACACTCCACTATCATTGAGTTTATAATTAAAACTAAATTAAATCGCATTTTCAGAGTGTCTCTTGTGAGGCCCACATGAACAGTAAGGGAATTCACCTGGATGGTTGTTATTGCAAAGAGCGCCAGAGGAATAAGGGATCCATGACTGCCAGCAGGAGAGAGAACACAAGAAAGGGAGTCTCAGTTGAGAGCAAAGGGAGCTGTAGAAGCTGAATGGTGCCTGCATGGCCCAGCAGTCAGAGCTCACTTTGTACGGTGATGTAAGGCTTTGTTCGACTCAGCAAATTTCAAAGCTGAGGGCACCCTGGTAGAGGGAAAGAGGAGGATTTGGGGAATTAGACAGCTCCAGGTGAAAATACTGTAACAGCAGAAGGATAGTGCCAGCCTCTAGGGCTACTGAGAAGCTTAATTAGCCTGCTTTTATAAAGTGCCAGATATGTAGGTGCCCAGTACCTGGTAGCTATTAATGCCTCTAATTTGAGCTCAGAATTTCAAAAAGGACCAGATAGACTCGACTAAGTTGGAAGTTTTAAGGAAAATGAACTTTTAAGGATACCACTGCCATCAGAGTCATTACAGATTTTCCCAGAACTCTTTTTCTGAGGTTATAGATCACAAAATAGGCCCATTATTCTTGCTTTTGGAACAATAGGTATTTTGTTGGTGCTGCACAGGAAGGCCCTGGAATGTTTAATTAAGAGAAGAAGCAGGAAAGTGAGAAGGAGAAGGAAAATAGGAGTCTGGAGGAGAAGAAAAAGAAATTGGGGGCAGGAGGGAGTCTTGTGGGTGGTAGTGAATACTTTCTTTTTTTATTTGTTTTTTTTTTAAAGATTTATTTAATTTATTTGAAAGTCAGAGTTACAGAGAGAAGGAGAGGCAGAGAGAGAGTGAGAGAGAGGGAGAGAGGGAGAGAGAGGGAGAGAGAGAGAGACAGAGAGAGAGAGAAAGTCTTCCATTTGCTGGTTCACTCCCCAGTTGGCCTCAACAGCTGGAGCTGCACTGATCCAAAGCCAGGAGCCAGGAGCTTCTTCCAGGTCTCCCACGTGGGTGCAGAAGCCCAAGGACTTGGGCCATCTTCTCCTGCTTTCCCAGGCCATACCAGAGAGCTGTACAGGAAGTGGAGCAGTGGGACTCGAACTGGCACCCATATGGGATGCTGGCACTGCAGGGGGCAGCTTAACCCTTCACTCCACAGCGCTGGCCCTGGTGAATACTTTCAACCCCTATTTTAAAGCCAAGTTTATTATTTGGAAAGACCAAAAGTATTTTACTCTAATACTAACTTGGATTGTGTTTGATAAATGAGAGTATAAAACAGTTTTTTCCTGATCTGTTTATACTTTCCAAATTTTCTACATTGGACAATAATATATTTCTTTTATAAATTAGAAAAAAAAAAACAAAGTTGTACCCTGTTAATTATTTCAACATCAACCATGTTTTTATGGACCTTTGAGAGAATAATGTTTGAGCTAGCTAACTACTGCTCAGATGCACTCAAATAGAATGTGAGGGGTTTAGAAATTCAAGTTCCCACATCATGGATTACATCCTCTGGTACAGCCAGTACCCTTAACTTCTCTCATGTTCACGAACAGTAAAAGGCAGGATGTTTCATGGGAGGGGTCTAGCTCAGTAAACATGAATCTAATGTTTGAGAAAGAAAAGTTGTTTTCCATGAAGACTGTTTTTCTTTGACCGTCACCCAGTTTCTAGAACATTCTATACCAGGGTGTGGTACAAGTTCTAACACAGTATTTTGGTTCTCTGGGCACCTCCGTGAGTCTGAGTAAATTAGGCACACACTAGCTCATCACATTGATCCTGACAGTTGGCTGGGTACTACTTGCAAAACCAGTGGGAAGCACTTCGGGGAAATTTGTATGTGTCTTGAACAACTTTTACTTTAGGTAGCTACCTTCTTCAGACAGACAATTTGGGTCTCTCCTTCAAAGTCATGAAGACTCCTCAGGACAAGCATGTGCTCTGAGTAAATGCTCCGGTCCTTGTTTAGACGTGAACAATCTGATCCACATTTCCACCAAAGATAACTCTGAAGAACAAGCAAATGGCGACCTGTCACTGGGTTCTTGCAGATGAGCCCCTCAACACACTGAAACTGCTATAACTGACCGTGATTGTGAGTTAAGGTTGTGAGGGGAACACCGTCATACATTACCCCTTTTATAATGCAAACATTAGCTGGTAGGGAGGAAGGCGTAGCCAAAAGACAGCCTAATGTGTTTGAGGAGTGTCCCATGAGGGGATGGGTATTCTAGAAAGAAGTTAGGGAAGGATGTTAAATAGGGATAAAGAAATGTTGAGTGGTTATTTTTGAGAAATATAATGTAGCTCTGCAGATGTGTCATGACCGCTGTTTGAGGACATCAGTGATTATAAAATGAAAAGCCACATCCAGTTGTAGGAATTCAGTGACAACTTGCTAGAGTTTTGAAGAGTCATGAAGTAGCAAAGTAAAATAAGGAATGGAATCCTGACTACCTGTTGAAGATCCTTTTCTATTCCATCTTTGTTAAGTTTACTTTCCTAGCTTGCCCTCTTGAATTGTATGTCACCTCTCATATTCATGGTAAATAGAGATGATGTAGCACTTTAATCAATGCGAGGAAACCAAGTGCTAGGGACTGAATGGTGAACCCCCACAGGTATACACTGAAGCCCTAATCTCCAATATGATTGTATTTGGAAACAGGGCTGTTAGGAGGTAATCAAAGTTGAGTGAGATCATAAGAGTAGGATCCTAACCCAACAGAATTTGTGGCCCTTATCAGAATAGGAAGAGGTCTCTCTCTCCTTGAATGCATTCACTGAGGAAAAACCACGTGAGGACAGAGAAGTGGGTGTGTACATCTCTAACGAGAAAGTTCTTTACTGACACCACCTCTGCTGGTATCTTGATCGTTGGGCATTCTAGTCTCCAAAACTATGAGAAAATACATTTCTATTGTTTCATCTACTCAGTCTGTGGCATTTTTGTGATGGAAGACAGAGCTGACTAACACACCAGCTTCTTTTTGTTAAGTTTCTCTAATTTACTATAGCCGAATCTTGAGGCCCGGAGAAATTTTTAAAATCAAGCTCAGTTATTTCTACCTTATTTCCTAAAGATTCGTAGTTGATGAAAATAAATCCCCCTAGCCATTTACCACTACTTTCAGTGATACTTTCCATGGGTGTGTGTGGGGGGGGGGGTGGTAGATAAAAGAGGTGAAAGTTATGCTATGCCATCAAAGTCTTATTTGTTCACACCCATCTAAATTGATGTAATCCATGATAATTTGTGAGCGCAGGCTTCTCAGAATGGTCTTTTCAATTCTGTCTTGAACAATTTCACTTTATTGCTTCTCAAGTTTATATAACAAAGGATTGACCGATGCCAATGGAGGCAAGGAAAAGCTAGGTTTCTATTTAATACCCAATTAATAATGCAATGATAGGAATGAAACATTAAAAACACGCAGAGAAGCCGAAATGCTGTTTTGAACATTCAAAAGCAAAACACAGTTTTTTTAGGAAAGTATTTTATTTTGTGTCTCAACAGATGAAATTCCATAACTTAGTTTTCTGATAAGACAATTCAAACATACAAATCAATTACAACAATGTGCTTATCAGCTCCCTCCCCCACCCCTATATTTTAAAGCAACTGACAGTTTTGAAGGACACCAAGACAATAGGGCTTAGCTGAACAATATGGCAATTAAAAAATGGCCCTCCAAGAAAATAATTACAATGGTTATTGAAAAGAATTTGTCCTTTGAGTAAAAGAGATTGAGTGAAAAGAATCATTATGACGTGAGGAGGACCACAGCTGCCCTTGCAATAAAAGGGAAAGGGGACGTGTGTGCAGATAATGGCACAGAAAGCTGGGGAGTCAGACTGAGAACAACAGAAAGCCCTAGGCAGTAAACTTCTCTAACAAAATGCAGCCCCTTGAAGATAACCATTCAAACTCCTGATTTGAACTAAAATAAATAACTGTCTCCTCCACCCCCAGTACCTGGAATTGAATCATTTCTGTTCTCCTTTGTTTTTCCAAGCCAGTATCTCTCAAAGAGAGATGAGTTGTGAAAAGCAGAGATACTAAAGACAAACCAAGCCAAATGACAACCAGCGCTATTTTCGCTTCTAGACTTAAGGGAGTTGACATTTTCTGACAGACCTGGGGCTCCCTGGGGGAGAGGGGCTCCTACTCATTGGCTTCCTCAAGCTGTTTTGAATCCCATAGCACCTTTGTCATAGGTTCTCCCTTCTTCATGCCAGTCCCTCTTATGTTTCACGGTGAGCCTCACAGCACCCTTGTGAGGTAGGTAGTGTTATGATCATTTTGAGATGGGGATGCAGAGATGTTAAGTAACTTGCCCAGAAGGAAACACAAACCCAGTGACAGAGTCCAGAGAACTCTTCCTCCAGACTCCTGTCTTCAGTACTTAACTATGCTGACTCCCTGAGAGTGGATCCTTAAAGCAGACAGGTCCTCAATACCAGACTCATGCCTGGCCAGTTGCACATCAAAGTTCATTTCTAAACCACATGGTTTGGATGACAGAATGAGAAGCAGGCTGTGATGAGCATGGAAGGCAAATGAGCTAATGTGAAGAAGCACAGGATTACCATTTGAATTATAAGTGGATAATGACTTTTTTTGTGGCTCTGTTAAGTTACAATGATAATGCAAATTTAGTATATATTATATGATTAAATAAATAAATGAATGAATGAAAGGAGATTGTGCTTGGATAAGTTGAAGATTGAATTTTCTTCAACTTTTAAAACCAAAGATGGAGAAATATGATTTCTAATTTTTAATCAAAAAAGGAAAAGGAAATAATTAAGTAGATATGTTAATTTTCAGTGGGCATGTGTTTGACATACTATTGGCAGTATTAGAAAAGATACAAATACGTAGGTATTTAAAATATTTTTTCAATATTGGATTTATTTACTTATCAGTCTGGACTCACATCATGAAGATAATCGTGGAGGCAGTGACACACATAAGCATCATTCATTTTCCTTTGCCATGGAATTCTCTTGTAGATGTGTATGTACTCATTGCCCTTCATTCAAAAAGCTTGTGCTGTCATGTTCTTAGCTAATGCTATTTTAAAAATACATAGCACTACCCAAACACAGAACCACTTTTCTTGAACTCTCCAGCCAGGAGCCATCTATTTATTTATTTATTTTGTTACTTTTTCTGTGAGCCCAGTTTTTTTCATTTCACTCCAGAAGACTTACGGCAGAAAACAGTGGCCCTGTATTGAAACCAGCTCTGCATGAACACCAGCAACTTTCTTCGAGTAGCACCATGGAGGGATCTTGAGACTGCTGAAGTACAAGCACTGGATTCTCCAGGTGCTGCTAAAATAGAAGGGCTAAGATAAATCAAGGCAGTGGAGCTGACTTGGTCATTTCTTTGCATTACACATTTGTTCTGTGCTCAGTGAATTAATTCCTTGTAAGGTGTTTGAACTGCTGCACTGTAAGACTGAAGGAAACTCTGGATGCCACAGTACAGATGTGTGTGTGTGTGTTTAAAGGACTATTTAACTTTCATGAAAGCCCTGCATGTATATAATGGATGTAACCCATTAGTCTTTTGTACACTCAGCTAATAGCCCATGGCTAAAGGAATCGATTGGATGTACTGAATTGCCGCTCTGCTATGGCACTGGCATGCTTGATCTCTGTGCTTAGGGATAATGATTAGTGGCGCTGCAGTTAGAAAAAGTTCACATAAATGTTACCTCTGCCTTAGAGTGGGGTCTGGTAAGTAGATTTATCTCTCAGTGTGACAAAGACAAGTCTACAATTGTTCACTACAGATACAACATACAAGATTTATGTCTTTCAACCAAGGAGGTAACTATCTAGCAGGAGGGTGGTTTTTGTTTGTTTTGTTTTACTTTGTTTTGGTGGTTATTGTCCTTGGGTTTTCATGTCAGACTCACTCCTCAGCGGTTGAATTTTGAATTGCGCACTTAGTTTTCTTTATTAAGGGCCAGAGTAGTGATAATCTGCAGATAAACCAAGTGTTTTTTCACCTGCCTTTTCTTTATCTTGTCTGCAGGTGCTTCTTAGTAGTGTGTGTGGGTGGGTGGGTGTGGGTGTGTTTCTGGTATTAAAATACATGCATTCTTCAGAGAGATTTATTAACACATCCTGACTTACCCAATTCAGAATATTATTGAATGAAGCAATGCCTGCATAGCTGTAACAAAGGATTTCCTTTACAATCCAAATTTTCTTGATAGATGGTCATAGTTTTTGCTTTTAGTAAGAAGTGATGGAAGGCACCAGAGTGATAAGCCCTAGAAGTCAGTGTTTTTCCACCAGTTAGTGGCAGAAATGCTAAGTGAATTTCCTCAGCATTCTCAATTTTTTTCCTAAACTTGGATTTATTCCACATCAATCTTCACACTGTGTTTTAGGTCTGGCAATGAGGTAATAACAGAAAGATCATAGGGTTGTACAATAGACTTATCCGACCTGAAGGGAATATACGGGAACTCATAATTTTTAATTCTGCTATATCAGATGACACAGAAGTAACAGTCAGCTAGCTGGAGCAGTATGCTCATGACTGAGGAAAATGAAAGGAAGAAACAAAACAAAATATGGTGTTCTTTCAGATTTATGAAGTAGAACACGACCACTGAGTCCTTATAAATACAGAGCAAGAGGCCAGGCTACTGAGATAAAATTACATGTTGTCCTCATTTAAGAAACTGACTTCAAAAAATTATCTTTTTCCCATTATTTTAGAATAAGTCCTGAAGTATTGGGGTCATATTATCCCTGATTAGTGAGTTTACTGGACAAGCAACTTATAACACTAGTCTCCTGAGATGTAAACCTAAGACATCAAAACTGTATTTATGGGAAAATTTTTGTTTGTTTCAGTCATAACAGTTTGGTGACACAAGATGGAAGTCCACTGTCAGCGATGTGACTCTTACCCAAGCAGCTCTGGCATTGCCAGAAAGCCTTCAAGGGGAAAGCTCTCCCTTTTGCAGTTAAAGAATAGCAAAAGGGCCTTCTAAGTTTGTTGCTAGCAGCCTCGGAATTAGTTTGTTGGCTGCTGCTTGGAGGTGAAAACCAGGCTTTCTTGCCTTCTAACAACATGACTCGCAGCCACCGTTACTATCTATCAGCTTTCTGCTTCCTCCTTTATATACTCCCTTTTCACTGGAGGGCATCTAATAAGCTACAGGGAGTAGCTTATTATTAGAAATGACGACAAACACCTAAGGTAGAGCAGGCACCTTCATGTTCAGAACAAGATGGCCTAAAAGCAGTTTTTAAATGTTCAAATTATTTCCTCTTTAACACTTCCCCATGTCACTAATTTGCTTGTAGAAGATCTTTCTCCTTTTAATTTTTTTGTGCCTTTCTACTTTGCATGATGTCTTGAGTCACTGGAAGTTGGTTGAGTGAAAACTAATTCACAAAGAAAAACTAGATGCTGCTGTATGTATGGTTTGCTGAAACTTTCAGTTCCTGCTCAAATATATTTCATGCCTAAAATCATTCCTATTAATTTCTTAAGTGACCTCGTCAAATGAATTTGAAATAATTTTGCAAGTGATACAAGACTTATCTTCGCTAAGATATAATATCTTTGTAGTGTTGTTGATATTGCATAGATTTTGATATCAAGCAGGAAAGACCATGACCTCTCTAATTTTTCAGATGAAGAACCTGATACTTGGGTCTTTGATTCTGAGTTGTCTCCACTCACCCCAGCATTAGAGTCATATTCCACTGCATCTGCTTCCTCTCTGATAGTTTTGTAGATTATTTAATCAATACAGTGCTAAGGCAATGTAAACAAACTCTTATTCCTCATGAGACTCATAAAACCTACCTCTCTTAATAAGGAAATGACTCCAATTGCTTTGTATTACATTTCATTTCTTAAAATGCCAATGGATTTAACTGAAAAGTCAGTTGCTTAAGCCCTTTTCATCAGCCAAGAAAATGTGTTTTCTAACTTATTTTATATGTTAAATAGCATGTAAAACCTATTTAAAATAAGTTAATTTGATTTTTACATGTTAGAAAAACCCAGCATGCCCACAACAGTGAACCAATTATTAGTCAATGAGATTCAGACCTAAATTAAGATACTTTTGCCATTAACACTAACTTTTTTGAGAACAAAAACAAATTATCAATCATTTTGAAGAGAAGTTTTCCTAGGTCGTTGGTTAGTAACTTCCAGTCATGGGATATTCCCAGAGTAAGACTAAGAAAAAGCATTAAAATAAAACACAGACACACATTCTTTTTCTTTTTTTTTCTTTTTTTTTTTTACCTCCTGCTCAAGCTTATCAACTTTAAAAACAGTCACATTTAAAACACTTGAAAAAAAAGCAAACCACCCTCCCCCACATATTTATATATGTATATATAAACAATAGCTTTTTAATCAATTATGATTTGGGGCGTTCCATATTTTATGGAAAAAAACATGTGAAGACTACTCTCTTGTGCAGTGACCAAGGTATGCATTAGCACCCAACTTTATCACCGAGGAGGAAAAGAGCATGTTTCTTTCCAAAGAGCTTCTATAGGATGTTTGACTCAGTTTCAGCCTTTTGCTATTACACAAACATGTATGAGTCATCATGGTGCTGGAAATACAGTGGCAAAAAGAATTTTTTGCAAGTCTGAGTTGATCTCCTGCTTAGTTACTATCTGTTGGTTATAATGTAGGTATAGATTATATTTAGACTGAAGATGTTAAAGCAATTTAGAAGAGGAGGTGTGCAACAAAATGAAGAAAGTTAACAAAAGTTAACAAGGCACCCAAATCTGCCTTTTCCCCCTCTTTTAGACTGGGCACAAAATCTGAACTATTTTCCGTATGGACAGTTATCTTTTGAACTTTTGTTGGAATTTAATATAGTTAACTAATTTGATAGGACATAAATTTGCATGTTTGTTTTTTTCATATATTTTGCATACTAAAATTAAAGTCTTTCTTAAAATGTGAAGTACTCTCTTGATCATGTGAGCTCTTTTCTCATTATGCTAAGGCTATAAATAAAGCTTTCTATATAAGGCTGACATTATATCAAGCTACCTTCTTCTGGAAGAGAGAGAGAGAGAGAAAAGTCAGAATCACTCAGCCTGCATATTGCTGTCAGCTTGTGACTATATGAATGGTAAGTCCTAACTTTTAAAGTGTTATGTGAGATAAGCTGGAGGGTTTTTTTTTTTTTTTTTAAGCAATTTCCAGTTTAACAATTACCCAAGAATTTTGGAGTACCAATGAAAGAAGACGTATCCCTGGAGACAGCATTCATTGATAAGGCATGACAGCAGCTCAGAGGTGACAGTGGTGAGTAGGCAGAGGGGGAGAATAAAGGATCATTTGAATCATGGCATCAGGAAAGAAGGCAGGAGTGGGGGCTATACCAAAGCTTTCCTCTCCCTGTGGTCTGTCTCAAAATAATTAGTCCAAGAGTTCCCCTTTATCCAGTTTTTCTTTCCATGGTTATTAGTCATGGTCAATTATAGTTTGAAAGTATAAATAGGTAGTAAAAGGAGGGAGAGAGGGAGAGAGAGAGACCACATTCATGTAATTATTTTATTTTATGACATTTTATTTATTTAGGACATTTTATTTTATGATTTTTGTTAATCTCTTACTGTGCCCAACTTATGAATTGAACTTTATCATAGGCCTGTATGTATAGGCAAAAGCATAGTGTATACAGAATTTGGTACTATTAGTAATCTCAGTCATCCACTAGAGGTCTTGGGACATATGCTTAGGAGATGAGTGGCTACTACAATGGTCCTTGTTTCTTTCCTCCTTCCCAGTAGGGATGTTTTCCAAGGAGACTGGGAGAAACAAGAGGCACTGAGTCATCAACAAACTAAAGAAGGGCAATCGGGCAACCGGGGTCACATGCAAGCCTGTGCCCCACATTTGGAAGGAGGGACATCAGGGCAGTCCCATTTTAGAAAATGAACCTTCTGCAAACATGTTAATCATGTCCTTTGTTGTTGCATTTTACCACAGGCTATCCACTGACAAGCTCACACAAGGCAATCCCTAACATTTTTTGAGAAAACATGTTGCTATATTTACTGCTCTTAAAAAAGAAAACCCACTTCGTTTGGGAAACCAGTCATCAATTATTGATTTAAAACATGGGTTACTTTACTAAACCTTATAAGCATAGATGTATGGCCTCTGGACCCAGTGTTTATTAGGTTTCTTTAGCTAAAGGTCACAGCAAGTAATTTCATCTTTTAGACCTATGTTGAAAGGCTTTTCTTTCCCACTAGTCACAATTTTGCCAGAGTCCTAATGAAAAGGCTCTCTTGAGAAAGGTTTTTGAAGAGGTAAAGTGGAATATCAGAGAGAGATTCATTAAGTGTTTGCCAAAGTACCAGGGGAAACCTAACCAAAATATTAAATTCTAAAATCACTAAGTCTAGTAACAGTTCATTCCTTAAGGCTTTCTATACACAAGGGCAGAATAACTCCAAAACTCCTCAATCACGAAATATCAAGGGTTTTGGTTGAAAAGAATTGAACGGAGAACCCAAAGCCAGTGGTAGAAAGTCAATGGAAATAACCAGGCACATGATATATTAGTCTAATGGGAAATATTAATTCTAGTAATAAAAATGATACATCTTTCTCTACATGCTGAGTAGAATGAATGACTTTGGTTTCAGAGGTTTTGTTACTAAGGTTCACATGCCACAAAATCTATTTGGACTCTCATAGGTAACCAGAGCATAAAGAAAGGGGATAAAACGGTTACCAGTGAAAATTAAAGAAGGGGCTACTCTCTGATTCCTCTCCAGCTGGCGGACAATAACTATAAATTATTAATGATGGAGATAGGATTAAAATGGATCCCAGTTTCTTCCTCCAACCTTTATTTAAATTCATGATGTGTCATTTTGTCAGGTCCTAGCCTTCTAAGCTCAAAATGATCTATTTTGTCTTTTCTAGAAAGCCTCAAGACAAGTTCTATGTTACTGAGCATAGCCCCTGAAGATAAGACAAATGTCTTGACACTGAGATGAAGGGAGACTCGGGAAGTATAAGTTAATTTACATGGCTCTCTATTCATTTTTTTCCTGCAAGATCATATCCTCTCTTTTTTGTACTTCTAATACAAAATATATTTGTTCCTACATGAGTAATGGGAAGTGACAAAAGTCAGGCTTCTATGCAGGTGAGATTTAAATAAAAGATCCTAAGAAGATTTTTACTTCTGGACTTCTATGAGAACTGAGGAGAACAGAATATTTTTACAGAACAATGAGAGAAGAATTCACCCTGCATACTGTAGAACAAATCCCGAATACCTCCGAGAACTATGGAGTGTTGGGATAAATAAAATTTCTGAGAAAAGTGAGCAAAACCAAGTTCTGACAAATGTCTTAAGGAATTAGAAAACACAAATCTTGGCATTTTCATACTTTGGGAATTTTTGAAAATCACATACTTATGAATGGCAATGAAAAGGAAATATGCTACAAAGTGAGTAATATGAGAATTTGGAAAAGTAGAAATTTTTTCCCTGGAAAGCACTAGGACAAATTGCTTGGGTGAGTTATCATGTTCCAGAATATGTATTTCAGACATGTGGGGTCATGTATCAATTATCACTTGGACTCTAGTCATGGAATTTCTTTTTATACAGATATAATGAATAGAGAGGATAAACACTGCCCTGAAGAATGCTTAACATACATACATGGAATACAGATAAACCCATTATGAAATGCTGAGCCAAACAACTGTATTTCTTCTCAAAATATTTTAAAGCAAACCATGAAGGAAGAAAATGATTCCTAGATATCATACCTAAGAGGAGCTGGCCCTGTGTAGGGCTAAGCAGTTATTCTCTGCAATGGTCTAAGTTAATCTAACAAGTGATAATCAAAAGCCATGAAGCAAAAATTCATGCAGGTGAATCCTTTGTAAAACTAGAACCTAGAGTCCCCAGGTTGCAGTCAATGGAATACTAGAACTTTGCAGATATAAAAAGAAATTCAAGATACACACCAATAATGAGAATGAAACAAATTAAATGAGCATTCAATTATCTACAAATCAATCACTATTATGCTCAGGCAGAAAGTAGCCAAATTTCCTGGAAATATCTTGTAAACATGTAAACATACTTTGTAATCTGAACACTGATTCAGGGGGTACACAGTAAATTCATTTTTACTAGAATATTGGAACTGGGAATAATTCATGAGTACTACTCTAGTCTAAATATTGACCATTCTGGCTTCTATGGGATTTTAGTTTTTGAAGACACTAACAGTTACTGTGCTTTATGTTCAAATAATTTACATGAGCCCAAGGTAAATTGCATTAAACAGGATTCTTGTTTATAGGACTTTTCAGAGCATTTATCAGGCTCAGGTAGATTTTCCACCTCCAAAGGTGATTATAGACTGCAGAATTTTCACCACATATAATTAATGGGACTCTTTTTTGGAAGAATGCTTAGTAATCTCTTAAATAACTGCTGTTTATGGATCATAGTACCCAAACCCATGAGGGAGTCCAATATCTTTTCTAGTAGTCAGATAGTAACTAAATCTTTTCTTGATGGGTTAACTTTAACCCAGGTTCATTTCACTCAGGTGTTTTTGGCAAGCTTCTATTTTGACAGAAAATAGTATTACAATCTCAAAGTTTTTGTACTAATTGTTCAATCTCTTTCTCTCTCTGTAGTTAAATACTTCATAAAATGTTGCAGATTGGAGATCAAGTAGTTTCTACTAACTTTTGAAAATTATCTCTCCACATTAATTTTGTTTGAAAGACTCCATTTCATTTGCACATGAGTTGGAATTGTGATATAATTTACAGAATTAATTTGCATTATTAGATATATAAATAAGACCACAAATGGGAGACTAATTTCCAAAAGATCTATAATAATCATCAGGAAAGTCAAATGAGAAGTGACTCCAACAGGCAATTCTTCTAACTGTCTATTTTGTTTTCTACCCCTTATTAAGGGATAGAGGGCTTAACTCTTTTGTTATTCAATTGGCAAAATAATTTCAGGGCCTATTACTCTTTTACTTTTTTATTATATGAATATTAATTTAATTTTATTAAATGTCCTCAAAATTTCAAATACTAAAAAGAGATAGCTTTTCAGACCTCTAACCCAATGTAAAGAAGTGAGCTCCAGAGCCCCTCCCCAGTTGACCTACCTATCCAAAAAGGGACTCAAACTGTGAAAAGTATAGAAATCTCCTATGCAGATCAATTATAAGCCATTTAATGAGTATAGCTGATATTCAGTGCTTTTGCAGATTATATAAATATATGCTTTGAAAGTCATTCACTCAATTTCTAGCCAAATGTAACTCTGCTTCCTTGAAATGAAATCACTGGTGGTAAGAGTATGATGCCATTTTATAAACACAGGATTGTGTGAGTAACCATCATTAACACAAAGTGAATTGGGCAAGTCTTGTTGGGTTAGAGGGTAAAAAATCCAGCACAATTTAATATGTTTATGGGCCATACTCTTAATTTTTCCTCCATTGAAGAAAGAGCAGGAGTTTGAAATTCATCCATTGTTTTTTTTGTTTGTTTGTTTGTTCTGTTTTTTGCCTCCCCTCTTTAAACACAAGATATATTTCCTTTTATCTACACAAGGTCAATTTCAAATAAAAACCCAAATCTACAGAGTAAGGAAGCAGGGAGAAACCCTGAGGTTGCCTATTCAAGTAATACTGTGTGTACAGTATTTGAATAGAGAACATCAGAGAGGCAGTGGCTAGATGTTCCCTTTGATTGGCAGTAATCTAGCCTTCGAGCAGCAGTGACATTTCAAATAGGTCCTTAGTTGCATTACTGTCATGTTACACATGGATCACCCTGGTTTGGGTGAGCATCTGAGAAATGCATATCCACAGAGCTTTGGACCACCTGAATTCTTCATAGTAGCTACTAGCAAATACTACCCAGTGACCATATATAACCAGTGCCCCCTCTTCCATTTTCAATGAACCCATTAGCAGTGACTGATGAAAGTAAAATCAAGGGGTGGTTAGATGGATCATTTCCATTAATAACACCTACCTTGGATTTTACAGGTACAGCTAGTGCCACACCACCTTTTAGAGAAACCAAGGGCTTTGTTACAGTAAACTGGTCCAGGGTGATATTACAAGTATAAAAAATATTCCATTCTGTATCAAAACTAGGCATATGCCTTTATTTATAGTAACAGAAGTTAACAGAGTTGAGCAGTTTTGCCTTGGGTCCTGTTTTCTTGGCATCCTACATCAGACAAAGACATCTCCCATCTCTCTGCCCATAGCTCCAAGGATCTAGTCTCAGGGTTCTCTATAGGTAAAGGAAGGTGAATCACATTTGGATCTATAGTGGTGAGTAACTAAAAGCACAACCTCTCATTCATATTGCTTTAAAACATATACAGCATATATGTTTCAAACAAAAAGGAAAGAATATATCGATCTCTTTATGGTGCTGAACCAACAATATGGTATGATGCAAGGCTTGAACAAATGATAATCATAGATACAAATTTTTCTGTAGAGTATGTTTTAGACAAATGTGTCTTCTTTTAAATATGTAACTCCTACACTGTAGGTTCTGTTTTATTTTTTTTCTTTTGTTTTTGCAGTGGTAGAAAATGATGAATTGTCCATGAGCATGAGCCAAAGATTCAGGTTCGTTACTGAGATCCCCAGAATGCCAATATTTGCAATGCAAACAATTAGTATCCCACTGTGTGAAGAGCTCTGACACATGCCTGCCTGCCCCTACATGGAGAGTCTCCATAAGAAGTCCTCCTGCTTCCATGGACCCTGCTTTGACATAGGGGCAACTGCACAAAGCTGCCTCTTTCTCTTAGTAAATCACCGTGTCAGATTGCCTTACTGATTACCAACAACGACATAGAGACAGTAGTGTAAGCGGTGGACCCTCAAATCATTTTCATGTTGAACCTCCTGGGTCCAGCCACCTCCCCTTCCACAACAGCACCATTGTTTTTTCGGGGCACATATTCAAGGTCAATGCTGTTTTTGTGCTTGCCTTTCCCTCGGCTCCACACAAAAAGGAGGAGAAAACAAAATAAAACCACCCCCAGGAATGTGAAACAGCCCATGGCTGTAGACACCAGTATTGTTTTAAGGTCCAGGGCAAAGGTGTTGGCATTGGTGCCATTGGAAATGGTGTCATTGGAGTCGGTCATGTACATAGGGGTCCTGTTTGCGTAGAGGAAGCGGTCTGAAGTGAATCCTTTCACAGTTAAAGAGGCTGTGAAGGTGTCATTCCCAGCAGCGTTGCTAGCGACGCAAACATACATCCCACTGTCTTGATCTTGGGCAAATCGGATTTCCAAGGTGCCATCGCCCAACACGGTGGCTCTTCCATTGGACTTGGTGGTGATGAAACGCCTTCGGGGTGTCACCCAGGAAATCACAGGCTGCGGATCTCCATCGGCATTGCATTCTAACTGGACCGTCTGCCCTTCGTCCACCAGCAGATGCTGTAGCTTCTTCTCACGGATTTTGGGTTTCTTGCAGGTGAAGTAAAAAGAAAGGGCAGTGCTATGGAAATCCTTGAATGACCTCTCACGGATGGTGTCTGGACCAGCGCACATGGGCTGCTGGCCACCGAACTGCAGGGTGGGCTGGCGCTGAAGGATCCAGAGGAGACGGCAGTCACAGGCCAGTGGGTTGTTATTAATGCTCAGGACCTCCAAAGCCCTAGGGGAAGAGAAGACATTCTCTTCCAAAGTTTCCAGCAGGTTCTGAGACACGTTGAGCACACGAAGGAAGCGGAGCCCTTGGAAAGAGTGAGGCTCAATGGTGCGGAGCTGGGCCCCCACTATATGAAGCTCCTGAAGGCGAATCAGGTCAGAGAACATGCCTGCCTCAATAGTGCTGATGGGGTTGTAGGAAAGGTTAAGGTGGGTCAGGTATACCAGGTGTTTAAAGGCAAGGAAGGGCACAGTAGACAAGTTGGTATTGGTGATTGAAAGGGATGTGAGGTTGAGACCGTAGAGGCTATTGGCAGGCATCATATCCAGTAAAGGCCAATAGTCAATCTCTAGGTGTTTCAGGTGAAATAATCTTTTAAAGGCATACACAGGCATTGTGTTGATATTGAGATGCTTCAGGTGCAGGCTGATGAGGCTGCGGAGGTGGGAGAGGGCTTCTGTTGGTACTGCTGTTAAGTTGCATTTCTCCAAGGTGAGCTGCTCCAAGCTAAGTAGCCCGCTGAAGGCCCTGTGTGATATATAAACCAAATCATTGTCCCCCACTTCTAGCGACTTCAGGTTGTGAAGATCCTGGAACATGTAGTCCAGTAAGATGACAATCTTATTCTCACTAATGTCAAGCTTGGTGAGGTTGGACAGCCCTGTGAATACCCCTAGCGGTACCAACTTCAGACGATTGCCTTTCAGGCGAAGGGAACGCAGGTTGAAAAGATTGTTAAATGCGCCTGGTTCCACATTGGCGATCACATTGTCACTCAAGTCTACCTCCTCCAGCAGAGGATAGGATATGAATTCTTCAGGGTTGACACTTTTCAACCGATTTTTACTGAGGTCCAAGATCTTGGTCTCAATGGGAATGCCCTCTGGGATGGCCATCAGTCGTCTTCTGTGGCAGCTAACAGATTTATTCTGGGCAGAGCACTCGCAGCGGGCAGGGCAGCCAATGGTGGATCCCATGAAGATTAACACCACAGCCAGACCCAGGAATGGCTGCCAGCATGACACAGCCGTGTGAAGCATGACTCCACTTCTTAGACTACACCTTGGTCACGGGCCTGCACAGATGGGGCAAAGGAAGGGAGAAAGAACAGTTGAGTTAGGATGTCCACAGTTAAAGGCGTATACATAAAGCAGCAATTTGAATAGACAGGACACTGGCTTTGGAATCAACTAGCTTTGGGCTTCCATCTGAGGGCTGCCGTTACTACCTCCACAGTTGTGGACAAGTTATTTCACTCACTTCTCTGCACTTCAGAGCTCTTGGCTGTACAGCGTGGACGAGGTGAATGGTAATAGTAATAGCTTACTAGAGTACCATGACACATTCGGTGTTTGACAATGATAAAGGGACAAAGACAGTGCTTGGCCCAAAATGTGAGGCAAAATGGTATGGTTTTCTTATATAAAGGGCTCCATTTGTGGATTCAAATGAGAGAAACAGAGGTCAATGGCTCAGAGGAAATCAGTTCAATTTGAATCAATGTCTGGGATTTCTCCTTCCATTCAGAATGAGGCTAACAGAAGTTTCATTCAATATTGGGCCCTGAGGTTCAATGCACAAAACTAAGTTCCATTTAATGCAAGACACTGTGATTTTTTTCCCTTCATATACATCTTTTCATTTAAATATCAATGTTAAGGTAATCCTCAGTATTCAGGAAATTTTGGCTTATGATGGGATTTTCCTTATGAGAGGGGAACAAAAAAGATGCTCAACATCTCCCTGTATTATTTATATGTTCCTCTTAGGAATGAAGCAGAACAAGGATGGCTAAGAAGGGAATTCTCCTTTTATGATTTTGGATTAAGTATTTATGAATGATAAGGGTTGGGATTTTAAGAAAAAAACACTTTCAATAACAAATAAATTATCTTTCATATTCAAATTTAAACCCAGTGAAGTAAAAGAGCTACTAAATGAGATTGGAAGTGAGTTTTCTTCAATGTGTTTAGCTCACCAGACACTAAACTGAATAGCAAGATGTATATTGTTGAGTTGTACTTTTGAATCTTAAGTCCCCAGAGTATATGTTATCCTTCATATAAAACACAAAGCTAAGTAATTAGAAACAATGTTCTTGGATGAAAAGGTATTCGATAAACCTTCATTTTCATGCCTGAATTGAAAAAGAACAATTAATAAGAGAATAATTCTAGTTATGTTTTTTACATACTATGTATATCTAATCTATAGCTATGTCTGTATCTAAAGAAATCTATGCACTAAAAAACTACTAGAAGCAAACTTAACTGTGAATCATCAGGTCACTAAAAGAATTACCCCAAAATGTAAAAACCAGGTAAATACTCAGAAAATGCTAGCCAAATTAATTAGATAGGAATATAGGAGGTGTAATTATTGGAAAATATGTAGCAAAACAATCAATATTTGCAGAGTAAATTAATGGCTGTCATAAAACCATTTGAAAGAAACTGACAGATTGTTAGAGCAAATAGGATATTAATTACATTAGCATAGTACAAAATAAATATGATTATTTTCTAATATACAAAAATGAACCATTTAGAAAATATTATTATAGAAATTATTCCAGTCATAGCATTTCTGGAAATATCAATTTCCTTAGAATACAGTTTACAGGAAATACAGAGAATTAGTATGACAACTATTAAACCCTACAAAGGAATTATAAAAAAGCTTACCAAAAAGCAGGAAAATTTTGAAATTCATTGTAATTTTTTAATAAAACCATTTGCATGAACTTTTAAAAATATTTATTTATTTATTTGGAAGTTAGAGTTACACAGAGAGAATGAGAGGCAGAGAGAGAGAAAGAAGTCTTCCATCCACTGGTTCACTCCCCAGTTGGCTGCCATAGCTGGGGCTGCGCTGATCTTTGGATCAGCCAGGAGCCAGGAGCTTCCTCCAGATCTTCCCATGTGGATGCAGGGACCCAAGAACTTGGGCCATCTTCTACTGCTTTCCCAGGCCATGGTAGAGAGCTGGATCGGAAGTGGAGCAGCTGAAACTTGAACCAGCGCCCACGTGGAATGCTGGCACTGCAGGTGGCAGCTTTACTTGCTACGCCACAGCACTGGATCCTGCATGGACTTTTTGAAGATCCCTCATATATGTAAATTTCAAAAATATTTTGTACCTAAATAACCAGCATTTAATTCCATTTCCATGAAATTTTGAAGTGCCCTTCATACTCTATATTTAGGTAGAAACATTACATGTTATAACATTAATTCTTTCTCAATAAAACCACACACTACAAATAATATTTTGAACTTGAAAAATTAATTAATGTTAACTCAGAAGAATATACATATGATATCATGAGAAATATAAAAAGTAGTAATGAAAACATTTTGTAATATATATATTTTTAAAGATTTTTATTTATTTATTTGACAGGTAGAGCTGCAGACAGTTAGAGAGAGAGAGAGACAGAGAGAAAGGTCCTCCCTCCATTGGTTCACACCCCAAATGGCCGCCACGGTTGTTGCTGAGCCGATCCGAATCCAGGAGCCAGGTACCTTCTCCTGGTCTCCCACCAGATGCAAGGGCCCAAGCAATTGGGCCATCCTCCACTGCCTTCCGGGGCTACAGCAGAGAGCTGGACTGGAAGAGGAGCAACCAGGACTAGAACTGGTGCCCAAATGGGATACTGGCACCGCAGGCGGAGGATTAACCTAGTGTGCCACGGCTGTAATATATTTAAACATTATATGCAAAATTATTATAATAAAACAGTGTGATGTAGACATGAATGTATATAGTCAATAAGACAAAGAGTAAGGAGTTATTTTTTTTAACTTTTATTTAATGAATATAGATTTCCAAAGTACGGCTTATGGATTACAATGGCTTCCCCCCCATACCGTCCCTCCCACCCGCAACCCTCCCCTCTCCCACTCCCTCTCCCCTTCCATTCACATCAAGATTCATTCTCGATTCTCTTAATATACAGAAGATCAGTTTAGTATACATTAAGTAAAGATTTCAACAGTTTGCTCCCACACAGAAACATAAAGTGAAAAATAATAGTATTGATTTTCTTAAATATATGATGATGAATCAGATCAGACCTATTGTCATGTTTAATCCAGTGAGAGTCAAGTTGGGAATTGATAATTTCTTTTTCTTCTTTTTTTACAGAAGATCAGTTTAGTATACATTAAGTAGAGATTTCAACAGTTTGCACCCCCATAGAAACACAAAGTGAAATATACTGTTTGAGTACTCGTTACAGCATTAAATCTTAATGTACAGCACATTAAGGACAGAGATCCTACATGAGGAGTAAGTGCACAGTGACTCCTGTTGTTGACTTTACAAATTGACACTCCTGTTTATGGCATCAGTAATCTCCCTATGCTCCAGTCATGAGTTTCCAAGGCTATGGAAGCCTTTTGAGTTCTCTGACTCTTATCTTGTTTAGACAAGGTCATAGTCAAAGTGGAGGTTCTCTCCTCCCTTCAGAGAAAGGTACCTGGGAGTTATATTTGAAAAGTCAGTTTATGTTATAGGTAACATCTTTAATTCACTGAGAACAACAGAAATAACTCCATAATATTTAGTGGGGAAAATTGCATATTTAGCTTCACCCCAAATAAAGTAAATTAGAAGTGAATTAGGATGAATTGAACGAAGAATAAATGTACTAGAAGAAAATTAAATAGTTATATACTATTAGAGTTAAGAAATATTTTCTGTAAACAATGCTAGAAACCAGGAAGGAGAATGATTGATTCTATTGTATGCATTTAAAAAGTATTGGTGTAACAATCAAGCACACACACACACACACACACACTATAACAAGCAATTGCTAAACTGGAAAATATACATTTTTAAAAAATCCATCCATTTAGTTGTCATATTTATAGAGAGAGATGGAGAGACAGAAAGTGGAGAATACATATTAAACTCATAATGAATTAAATATAGTAATATATAAGAAAATCATTAATAAAGAAAAATATAAATACCAACAAACAATTAAGTCCTGAGTGTAATGAAAATTAAAAACAGCCAATATATATGTGAAAAGATGATCAAGTTCACTTGTGAACAAAGAAAGAAATTAAACAACAGGGAATATTAATTTTGCCTGTCAGATTGACAAAGTTGAATAATCATTTTTGACCACAATTAACCAGGATAGAAGGATTAAATGAGCATCCACAATCAGATGTAAAGAATATAAAATTGTGCAAACATCAGGGGGTTCAAGTGCAGCAATGAGGTTAAGTGTTACACCAAATTTGAATATATCTAAGTTCAGTATGTTTACCATTTTGATGCATGCTTTCCTTTTAAAAAATTTATTTATTTGAGAGGCAGGGTGAGAGAGAGGGAGAGACAGACAGAAATCTTCCTTCTGCTGTGTTCCAAATGCCTGCAACAGCCTGGGCTGGGTCAGGCTGATGCCATCTAAGTCTCCCACACTGGTGGCAGGAACCCAGTACTTGAGCCATCATCTATTTCATTCCCTGTGCATTAAGAGGAAGCTGGATCAGAAGTGGAGTAATGGGGACTTGGATCTCAGGCACTGCAATTGGTGGCTTAACCTGCTGAGCTATAACACCCACCCCATGCTATTTTAATTTTTGAGGCTATATTGACGTTTAAAATATTATGGATATATTTTGCAGTAGAAGATAAAATTTGAATGCCTTTTTTTTAACTTTTATTTAATGAATATAAATTTCCAAAGTACAGCTTATGGATTACAATGGCTTCCCCCCCATAACGTCCCTCCTACCCGCAACTCTCCCCTTTCCCACTCCCTTTCCCCTTCCATTCACATCAAGATTCATTTTTGATTCTCTTTATATACAGAAGATCAGTTTAGCATACATTAAGTAGAGATTTCAACAGTTTGCTCCCACACAGAAACATAAAGTGAAGAATACTGTTTGAGTACTAGTTATAGCATTAAATCTCAATGTACAGCACACTAAGGACAAAGATCCTACATGAGGAGTAAGTGCACAGTGACTCCTGTTGTTGACTTAACAAATTGACACTCTTGTTTATGGCATCAGTAATCACCCTAGGCTCTTGTCATGAGCTGCCAAGGCT